TATTCTTCCTACTCATCCAGTGTGGGTGGTCAAACTGGGAGTATCGTGGCTGTGTGTGCATGCATGCACATTCAAAATGAATCAGTTTCTCTGTGTATTTAAATGTGTTTGAAGAAGAAATCAAGGAAGAAACACTTGGGCTGTGAGATCCAGCATGTGTGTCTGAGTCAAATCGCATGCACCTACTGTACTGTATATGGATCTCACGACTGTGTGTGCATGTCTTTTTGCTCATTAGGCACACTAGCGTGGATGCGATGTGACGAGATGAGCATTGCTGCCTTGGCAGGAGACCCAGGGCTCATCTGATACACGTTTGCATCAATGCCGTGTGGCATCCATCAGCCTGAGACACGCACATACTGTGATGTGCTGAGATACTACATCAGTGTGTGTATGTGTTTGTGTTAAAGTCACGGCCCCTGTGGCTAAGCTCATCGCGCACAAATTGATTTTTATCTTTCTTCTTCCACTCTTGTGCTACTTGATGCTCACCCTATTTCATTTACAATGCTGGCTGCCCAACTTGGAGGTGTCTTCATTTCCATCTCACTCTCTCCTTATCATTCCTTCTTTTTTTCTTCCTCCTTTTTCCTGTCATTACGGCCTGTGCCCTCACAACAACTTGGATGCCTTCCCAGGATGTTCTAATCAGTGGATTGGAATTTGCATATGGATTCCTCTCCATGCCAGAAAGTTCCCAGATTGTTTTTTTCTTGTAATCTTATTTAACCAGTCCATAAAGCTTCAAAGACTGCAGTGAAATAGATGCATGCGATGTCACACTGTATTGTTGAATTCTTTTCCACTCAATATTAACAAGTAGAAATTGTGCAAACTCATGATCCGTGTGAGCCAGCTGACAGTCATCAGTGTGTAATGTGAGTAACTGCTCTTGATCTCAAGCAGTGGAAATCACCAAAGGTCTTTTCCCATGACCTTGACATTTTTCTCATGCTACAGAAATGAATATATGAGTCAGATATGTGTAAGTGTCTGTGTGCAGCTTTATCTAATGTTTTCCTTTCAATCATTTTTTACTTTTTGGCCCCCCCGTGTGTTTGTGAATACATCATGATTGTTGGATTGATTTACTGTAACTGTTACGACTGAAGAGATTTCAGGACTGAAATCCAGAATGCTGAAA